TTGATAACAAAGCTTCTAAGAAAGTTTGGTCAAAATCCGTTGAGAAATGTAGGAGGAGTTGAGCACAGAAGAAATTGTTCTCTATATATTCTGTATAAGGAAAAAATATACAAAGGGCCATAATTCGGTCAAATATTATCCAATCACAAAACCCGACAATATGTGCTAGGCACTTGATAACAAAGCTTCTAAGAAAGTTTGGTCAAAATCCGTTGAGAAATGTAGGAGGAGTTGCGCACAGAAGAAATTGTTCACTATATATTCTATATAAGGAAAAAAACAAAGGGCCATAATTAGGTCAAATATATACCAATTGCAAAACCCTGGCAATATGTGCCAGGGCACTTGATGACAAAGCTTCTGTGAAAGTTTGGTCAAAATCCGTTGAGAAATGTAGGAGGAGTTGCGCACAGAAGAAATTGTTCACTATATATTTTATATAAGGAAAAAAAAACAAAGGGCCATAATTAGGTCAAATATTATCTAATCGCAAAACCCCGACAATATGCGCCAGGGCACTTGATGACAAAGCTTCTGTGAAAGTTTGGTCAAAATCCGTTGAGAAATGTAGGAGGAGTTGCGCACAGAAGAAATTGTTTACGCCCGCCCGCCCGTCTGCCCATCCGCCCGCCCGCCCGCCGACATACCTCAATCTAATAACCAGTTTTATTCTTCGGAAAAACTGGTTAAAAATAGCCACATAAAAGCATTAGGGAATGAATGACATCAAAGTGAAAGAACAGTTAAGCCACATAATTACTGTCCTGTTAGTGCGGACGGACGGACAGTCGGAAGGACGAGGACTATTTCTATATCCCATGCCGCTTTTCGGTGGGGGATAATTAAGAAGTGCATAATAACTCTTCTTGTGCTCTGCACTTTGGGTCATTGTAAAAAATATGCATACCAATTCTGGAGTCAATCTGACTAATAGTGACTGAGTTATGCTCAGGACAAGCATAAGGGTACGCCGACACGCACCACCAACAAAAGTAATCCCTATATGTTGCGTTTTTCTAGGTGACACAAAAAGGGCATAATTATGCAAAAAAACAAATTAGAATTATGGGACTTGTTCTTTCATATAAGATAATCTCAGAGAACAAGCAGGTAAAGTTTCAAACAAAATACATTCCTTTTAGAATTTTTAGAGTTACCAACATTCACACAAAAACTTAACCAAAGTGTGATGCAGACCAACCATGAGATAATATCATTTATCAATTACATATTTTAAAATAAAACAAGATATGTTTGTAAAACACGTATGCCCCCTATCGGCAGCCAATTAGTCATGTGATCAGGTTATTATGCATGACTTCTGACCTAGAGAACAACAAGAGCCACCACCGGGCGGGGGCAACACTTGACTATTTACTTTTTCTAAAAGCAAACAATGAAAGGTTTGAACAAATCTTAACGTTTCCTTTTTATAAATTTAATCGGTCTGTCTTGACACATTAGTTTTGTCTATATATTTTGAATATATAGAAACACGCAATTCTATAAATAGAAACACGCAATTCTAAAAATAGAAACACGCAATTCTAAAAATAGAAACACGCAATTCTAGAAATAGAAACACGCAGCAATTCTATAAATAGAAACACGCAGCAATACTAAAAATAGAAACACGTAGCAATTCTAAAAATATTAACACGCAATTCTATAAATAGAAACACGCAATTCTAAAAACAGAAACACGCAGCAATTCTAAAAATAGACACACGCAATTCTAAAAATAGAAACACGCAATTCTAAAAATAGACACAGGCGATTCTAAAAATAGAAACACGCAATTCTATAAACAGAAACAAGCAGCAATTTTATAAATAGAAACACACAATTCTATAAATAGAAACACGCAATTCTTTAAATAGAAACATGCAATTCTAAAAATAGAAACACGCAATTCTATAAATAGAAACACGGAATTCTAAAAAAAGAAACACGGAATTCTATAAATAGAAACACACAATTCTATAAATTGAAACACGCAATTCTAAAAATAGAAACACGCAATTCTATAAATAGAAACATGCAATTCTATAAATAGAACACGCAATTCTAAAAATAGAAACATGCAATTCTATAAATAGATTCACGCAATTCTATAAAAAGATACACACAGTTGTTGTTGTTGATGATAAAGTTAAAAATAACTGAAATATATAAGGCCATTGGCACGAAGAAAAAGCAACGGCCGCTGTGGTGTAGTGGTTAGCATACTGGACCGGCAATCCAGAGACCCGTGGTTCGAGTCCCGGCTGCGGCGTGCCAATTTTTCGTGCGATTTTTCTATGTATAATTTCCCGCTCATGACTTTCTTTCTTTCATATATATTCATTCTTGGGTGGGAATGGTCTTATAAAACAATAAATGTTTTTGCCATAAGATATTTGTAATAAAAAAAATAAATTAATAGTGACTGAGTCAGCCAACTGCGGTAAAAGAAGCTATAAATAGCTCGCCGCTATGGTAATAAAAGTGATGACGTCACAATAAAGTTAAAAATAACTTAAATAAATAAGGCCAATTAGCACGGCCGCTGTGGTTTAGTGGTTAGCATACTGGACCAGCAATCCAGAGACCCGTGGTTCGAGTCCCGGCTGCGGCGTGCCGATTTTTCGTGCGATTGTTCTATGAATAATTTCCCGCTCATGACTTTCTTTCTTTCATATATATATATATTATTCATATATATTATACACACACACACACACACACACACACACACGCGCACACGCACACGCACGCACACACTCACATACACCAATCAATATATAATTATGGTCATTTTATGCACAAATCTGAGAAAATTCAGTAATTTAACCTTCAAGGTCAAGGTCATTAAAGAGCCCAAGTCAATTTGAATTCTTTAGCGTTCTTTAGTTATTGATCGGAAATCGTTTTCGCTTACAAGGTCAATGTGACCTTGACCTTTGACCCCTTGACCCCAAAATCAATAGGGAATATCTACTGGTCATCACCAATCACCATACCAAGTTTGAAGTTCCTAGGCCTAAGCCTTCGCTAGTTATTGATCGGAAAACATTTTCACTTACAAGGTAAATGTGACCTTGACCTTTGACTCCTTGACCCCAAGATCAACAGGAATCATCTACTGGCCATGACCAATCACCATACTAAGTTTGAAGTTCCTAGTCCTTAGCGTTCTTTAGTTATTGATCTGAAACCGTTTTCACTTACAAGGTCAATGTGACCTTGACCTTTGGCCCAAAAATCAATAGGGGTCATCTACTGGTCATGCCCAATCACCGTACCAAGTTTGAAGTTCCTAGTCCTAAGCGTTCTTTAGTTATTGATCGGAAACTGTGTTCACTTACAAGGTCAATATGACCTTGACCTTTGACCCATTGACCCAAAAAACAATAGGGGTCATCTACTGGCCATGACCAATCACCATACTAAGTTTGAAGTTCCTATGCCTAAGCGTTCTGTAGGTATTGATCGGAAACCGTTTTTACTTACAAGGTCAATGTGACATTGACCCAAAAATCAATAGGGATCATCTGCTGGTCATGACCAATCACCATACCAAGTTTGAAGTTCCTAGTCCTAAGCGTTCTTTAGTTATTGATCGGAAACCGTTTTTACTTACAAGGTCAATGTGACCTTGACCTTTGACCCTTGACCCCAAAATCAATAGGGGTCATCTACTGGTCATGACCAATTACCATACCAAGTTTGAAGTTCCTAGGCCTAAGGGTTCTTTAGTTATCACTCGGAAACCATTAGGTCTACGGACCGACGGACAGACAGACAGACAAATGCAAAGCAATATACCCCCTCTTATTTGAAGTGGGGGCATAATAAATCCAGAAAGAATTACGCTTCTTGAGCACTGCACTTCCTCTCATTACGCTTGACCATTGTAAGAAGTTGCATTGAATTCTTAACATTAGTTTTAAGTTATGCACCGGACAAGGAAAAGCAACAAAGGACAATAACTCTACAAATATGAAGATGGAGTTGTGGTTATTGTACACTGCACTTCCTCTCATTTCCCTTGACCATTGTATGAAGTTGTATTGAATTCCAACTACTAGTTTTCAAGTTATGCACTGGACCAAAAAGTAAAAAAGGGCATTTACTGTAATGAGTCAAAATAGAGTTATGCTTCTTATGCACTGCACTTCATCTCACTGCCCTTGACCATTGTATGAAGTTTCATTGAATTCCAAGCATTAATTTTCAAGTGATGCATTGCACATTAAAAAGTAACAAAGGGCAAAAACTCTTAAATGTGTCAAGAAAGAGTTATGGTTTCTGTGCACTGCGCTTCCTCTCAATATACTTGACCATTGTATGAAATTGTATTGAAGTCCAACTAGTGATTTTTAAGTTATGCTCTGGACACGAAAACAAGCAATGGAAAAGTAACGAAGGGCAGTAACTCAATAATTACTCTAGACAGAGTTATGGTTTTTATGCACTGCACTTCCTCTTATTGTGCTTGATGATTGTATGAAGTCGTATTGAATTCCAACTAGTAGCTTTCAAGTTATGCTCTGGACAAGGATAAGTAACAAAGGGCAATAACTCTGTAATTAGTCAAGATGGAGTTATGGTTCTTGTGCACTGCACTTCCTCTCAATGTGCTTGATCATTGTATTAAGTTGTATTGAATTCCAACCACGAGTCTTCCAGTTTGGCTCCGGACAAAAATAAGCAATGGAAAAGTAACAAAGGGCAATAACCCTGAAATTACTTTAGATAAAGTCATGATTCTTATGCACTGCACTTCCCCTTATTGTGCTTGACCATTGTATGAAGTTTGTTTTGAATTCCAACCATAGTTCAAAGTTATGCTCCGGACAAGGAAAATGCAACGGACGTCTGGACCGACCTACCGACCGACCAACCACCAGGTGACTCCTATATACCCCCACCCCCCTCTAACTTCGTTTCGGGGGTATAAAAACATTATTCAAGTATAATAAAATTTTCAACCCTTTTACTCATGTACAAGTATTTACCTGATGAACTCACTTTGATTCTGTGCTTTTTCCCATTCAGAAGTGCGTTGCTATTCTTCTGCAACACTCTCTGCAACTGCCTTGCTAGTCAAAGCTTTCTCACCATGTTGAGAAGGGTTACCAACTCCTGACTTTTCTGTTGCAACTAAAAAGACAGATTTATTATAATAAACCTACATATTTTAAGGACGATTGTGCTTTTAGTACCTTTTTTGATTACACTAAAACAACTGAATCCTCAATTTTCACATTTGATTTTATTGCTGTTAAGGATGCTTACTGTCTCCAGAATTTTTTTCAAACATACAAAGCGTAGCAAACCGGCAACACCAACCATAAATTTGACTGAATTTACCCTCCCCATCCTCCAGACAGTTTGCCAAGATGAGTTTGGTATGTTCAATGCAGAAAATGAACTCATTATAAACATTGGACAGAGATAGGGAACACTTAACAAAGCTTGTGATTCTTTTATTTAACTATGCACCAGACATACAAGATTTCTTGAACTTTGCCAAAACTAATTTATTTTTAGCAACAATATTTCTATTTATAGTTAGAAAACCAAAACAAGGCCTGATTGAAGCGGATGATGCTCCCCGAGAAGGTTTATGGCACAGGAAAGTATAAAAAATGAACAAAGGGCACAAATTACAAAATTAAGCAATACGTTTTTTTGTATTTCACTTCTATTCAATGAGATCTATCTACCTATAAAGTTTCGTGATGATATCTCTTATAGTTTCAGAGTTATGTCCCGGGTAAAATTCAAAGTGTAAAAATGAACAAATGGCAAATACATTAGACAAGGCTGTGTTCAAGGTTCTTTAGCATTGCAGTTCTATCCAATGAGATCTATCTACCTACAAAGGTTCATGTTGAAACCTCTTATAGTTTTAGAGTTATGTCCCGGAAAAAAGTCAAAAAGTAAAAATAATCAAACGGCAATAACTTCAAAATAAGGCAAGGCAAGGTTATGGTTATTTAGCACTGCACTTCTACCCAATGAGACCTATTTACCTACAAAGTTTCCTGTTGATAACTCTTATCACTTTAGAGTAATGTCCCAGACAAAGTTCGAAGTGTCAAAATAAACAAAGAAAACAATAAAAAGCTCCAAAATTAGGGAAGACAGAGTTATGGTTCTTTAACAATGCACTTTTCCTCAATGAGATCTATCTACGTACAAAGTTTAATATTGATATCTCTTATACTTTTACAGTTATGTCCCGGAAAAGGTTCAAAGTGTAAAAATAATCAAAGGACAATAATTAAAAAAATAAGGCACGGCAGAGTAACAGTTCTTGTGCGCTGCAAACCTACTCAATGAGATATATCTATCTGCAAAGTTTCATGCTGATAACTCTTATAGTTTCTCAAACGACATGTTCTATAATACCACTTGGCCAATATTAATAAAACTTGGCAGGAATACTCTTTATATGAAGCATTATCAAGAGTGTTAAAAAAATTCCATTCCATGCTAAACTCTGGTTGCTATTGCAACTAAAAGAAACAAGAACCGGTTGAACCGGGTGATGCTCCCCGAGAAGGTTCTGGACACAGGAAAGTATAAAAACAAATGAACAAAGGGCAAAAACTCCAAAATTAGGCAAAGCGGAGTTGTGTTTTTTTGCACTGCACTTCTGTTCAATGAGATCTGTCTATCTATAAAGTTTCCTGATGATAATTATCAGAGTTATGTCCCGGGTAAAAGTCAAAGTGTAAAAATGAACAAAGGGCAATAACTCCAAAATTTGACCAGGCTTTGTTTAGGTTCTTTAAGCATTGCAGTTCTATCCAATTATATCTAGCTACCTACAAAGTTTCATGTTGATATCTCTAATAGTTTTAAAGTAATGTCCAGGACAAAAGTCAAAAAGTAAAAATAAACAAAGGGCAATTACTTCAAAATAAGGCAAGGCAGAGTAATGATTCTTGAGCACTGCACTTCCACCCAATGAGACCTATCTATCTACAAAGTTTCATGTTGATATCTCTAATAGTTTTAGAGTAATGTCCCAGACAAAGTTCAAAGTGTCAAAATGAAAAAAGGGCAATAACTCCAAAAGTAGACAAGACAGTGTTACAGTTCTTGTGCACTGCAAACTTACTCAATGAGATCTATCTACCTACAAAGTTTCATGTTAATATCTCTTATACATTAAGAGTTATGTCCCGGACAAAGTTCAAAGTGTAAAAATAAACAAAGGGGGGTAATTAAAAAATTAGGCAAGGCAGAGTTATGGTTCTTGTTCACTGCACCCCTACTAAATGAGATCTATCTACCTACAAAGTTTCATGTTGATACCTCTTATACTTTTAGAGTTATGTCCCGGACAAAGTTCAAAGATGGGGAAAATTAAAAAATTAGACAAGGCAGAGTTACGGTTCTTGTGCACTGCACACCTACTCAATGAGATCTATCTACCTACAAAGTTTCATGTTGATACCTCTTATACTTTTAGAGTTATGTCCAGGACAAATTTCAAAGTGTAAAATAAACAAAGGGGGAAAATTCAAAAATTAGGCAAGGCAGAGTTACGGTTCTTGTGCACTGCACACCTACTCAATGAGATCTATCTACCTACAAAGTTTCATGTTGATACCTCTTATACTTTTAGAGTTATGTCCCGGACAAAGTTTCAAAGTGTAAAATAAACAAAGGGGGATAATTCAAAAATTAGGCAAGGCAGAGTTATGGTTCTTGTGCACTGCACACACTACTCAATGAGATCTATCTAACTACAAAGTTTCATGTTGATACCTCTTATACTTTTAGAGTTATGTCGAGGACAAATTTCAAAGTGTAAAATAAACAAAGGGGATAATTCAAAAATTAGGCAAGGCAGAGTTACAATTCTTGTGCACTGCACACCTACTCAATGAGATCTATCTACCTACAAAGTTCAAAAGTGTAAAAAAAATGTTGATACCCTCTGAGATCTATACTTTTAGAGTTATGTACCGGACAAATTTCAAGTGTAAAATAAACAAAGGGGAGTAATTCAAAAATTAGGCAAGGCAGAGTTACGGTTCTTGTGCACTGCACACCTACTCAATGAGATCTATATACCTACAAAGTTTCATGTTGATACCTCTTATACTTTTAGAGTTATGTCCCGGACAAAGTTCAAAGTGTTAAAATAAACAAAGGGGGATAATTCAAAAATTAGGCAAGGCAGAGTTACGGTTCTTGTGCACTGCACACCTACTCAATGAGATCTATCTACCTACAAAGTTTCATGTTGATACCTCTTATACTTTTAGAGTTATGTCCCGGACAAAGTTCAAAGTGTAAAATAAACAAAGGGGGATAATTCAAAAATTAGGCAAGGCAGAGTTACGGTTCTTGTGCACTGCACACCTACTCAATGAGATCTATCTACCTACAAAGTTTCATGTTGATACCTCTTATACTTTTAGAGTTATGTCCCGGACAAAGTTCAAAGTGTAAAATAAACAAAGGGGGATAATTCAAAAATTAGGCAAGGCAGAGTTACGGTTCTTGTGCACTGCACACCTACTCAATGAGATCTATCTACCTACAAAGATTCATGTTGATACCTCTTGTTGTTTCAAAGTTATGTCCCGGACAAGAAAAGGGGACGGACGGACGGACGGACGGACGGAAAGACGGACGGGCGGACGGACGGACGGACAAGGCGGCGACTATATGCTCCCCCGAAATTTTTTCGCGGAGCATAAAAACTTAAAAGATCTTTTACGTCAAAATGGAAAGGACTAGAGCTTAGATATTTCACACAAGGCATTAGCTTGTTGGTTTCTACAAAGTATCTTCAAATGATGGTTTGGAGTTGCAAATTGGTCTCTGTTTTGAAGGTTAAAGGTTTTTTTATTGCAAGGTTATAGAGACATTCTTTGTAGGGATAAATTGAGATCATAAGTGTATCTTGTATTTTTTTGTCATAACAGACATTGTAATGAAGATATTTCTGTTAAAGCATTAGAAAGATGAAAAGGTTGTGAATGTTAAATCAAAACAGTCAATCAGAATAGCACAAATTTGAGAGCTACAGTGAAGTTGATTGGATATATTTGATTCTTCCATTAATTTCGTAACACCATCAGATTAAAGGTGACTTTGTCATTTCCGAAATACAATGTAAAATAGTTCGGTTCTTGACAATGACTTGCACATTTTATTGTGTAAGATATTTCATAAAGAAACGAAAATGAGCAAAAAATGTTGTATTTTATTCACAAAAATAAGCTGATTAAGATAAAAAAATTATTTACAGTACGGATATAACACAAGATTAAAAGATATTTCTATTGCATTATATCAAAATATTTATTGAAGGTGACAAAAACAATTAATTAATCAATTATAGTAGATATCAAGGCAAGCTAAGTGTAATATTCACATCTTCGCAGATCATACGTTTCATCCATTAATCAAGCGAAATTACTTTTATCAGTTTGGTGTATGTTTACCCCTTCAAGATGTGGGATGATTTGATTTTTTGAATGTAGGTTAGACATTTGGCAAAATCTGTTCAGATCCGAGAGAAAAATAAGAACAGCAAGATTGCATTTGTGAAAAATGCTATGTCACCGCATTAATACAACACTAAATAATAGTGTAGGAACATATGTTTTTTTGTTTATATACAAATGAAGATTGTCATAATTCATAGATCCCTGACCTGTCTCATTCTTATCATCAGATTAGTGGTAAAATCTATTGTTATTCAAATAAAAGATCAGAGTAGGATTATATCAATGCAGTTGAGTCTAGTGAATTTGGTGGTGAAGGTCATATTTCAAACAGCCTAAATTTCATGACTACATCGAAGGACAACATAGTAAGACACTTTCTCAAAATCTAGGTCAGCTGATATCAAAGTGTACTTTACATCAATCTGTGCACATGGTTCAAATTTCACAGCTGTATATCAAAGGACAAGAAAGTAAGTCACATCATCAAAATCGAGGTCACCTGATATCAAAGTTCAATTTTACAACTAAAACTGTACACATAGCCAAAATTTCATTGCTGTACATCAAAGGACAAGAAAGTAGGTCAATGGACCCTTGGGCGAGGCAAAATTTTGTCCCAAGGGTTTGATTCTAAACAATCTTGATACAGGTCCACCAAACAACATTTCATGTCAAATATCT